CAGTTTGCACAAAACACACCTTAAAAACTGTTTTCAGAAGAAAACAACACCAAGTCAGTTTAACTTGTTTACATTGAACCCAAACCAAAAAACAAGATCATTCACACAGTTGTTAAAAAACTGATTTCAAGTCAGCATTTACAAGATAATGCTATAGGCAATGGTTCAGATTCATGAGCATAGCCACAACATGCTAACTGATACCCAAAAGCCTTTGGAGAATACAATCAGTAGGCTTAATCTTATTTCTGCTGGTTTTGATAGAACTGAGTGCTGTCTCAGCAGTGAAGACATCAGAGTTCAGCTCCAGAACACTAGTCACTCAAGGTTAGATCCAAAACCTTTGAAAACCAAACCCTTGGATTAATTGTACTATAAATCTTGAGGTGACATTTGCAAGTTTCTCAAAGCTTACTGACTCTCATAATGACTACATTGTCATTTCTTATACCCAACAACAATGAAACCAATGAACTCAATATTTCATTTTAGATAGAACTAGCAGGTAGAGACAAGAGAGAAGCCAGACTCCAGAAAATAACCAGACAGAATAATCCCGGGTAAGATCCTTAAAAATTATCTTTAATTGATGCCAAATATGAACAGATAAACAAGTACAGAAGCAGGTAAAATTGCATAGATGAAAACTATGCATTTCAAATAGTTCAAGAACTCATAAAACATTTGATGTTCTAGAAATGATAAATCAAACGATTTCACTAATAGAAGTAAAATGAGCTGTATCATGACAACGAAATACATATTTGACCCAAAGTGTAAGCGGTTTGTTAATGCTGGAAATAAATACAGCTGTGTCAGCTTAAATGTTTTGTTGCCCTGATGGTGCACTTTCATAAGGAGTTTATATATCAGTTTATATATTTAACATTGCTAATATTTGATCTTGAAAGTCAGAGGTATGTCTGAGAGGCCATATACAGTTCTATTAACAGCTATTATTTATTCATTTCAAACCGACATACTGCAAAAAAAGATGGTTTACATGTAAAGGAAAAGAAAAAAAGATTTCATTTTAGCAAGTTATAGGTAGGGGGTTGCTGAATTTAGTCATAAAAATATTGTTTTTACTTTTGTACAAGAGTGAAATATACATTTGATCCCAATTACATTATAGAAATGTCACTGAAATAATAGCATGGACCAAAGACTGATGCACTTAAAGAAACCAAATGTGACATGTCTTCATTTTATTTATTATAGAAACTAGAAATGGAAGATGTTGTGTTTTGTTGTTTGTTTTTTTTGTTTGTTTGTTTTTTTAAGTGGTAGTGACATTTGCTAGAACCTGTGAACAGGTGAAATATACAGAATTATATAGATATTAACAGATATTTTAAGACCAATTTCAGTTAAGAACTCAGTTTAATCTTATTTCTTTTGAAAACATCAAAGCATATTATGCTTTGACAGAATAAATTGCTGACCTCATGGGTGACAAGTTCACCCACACTGAGTGGAACACCAGAACACCCTGAAGTTTTATTTTTGCAGATATGAATACTGACACCTTTAAGAATACTCAATAAGCATTTCAGGAAAAATAAATTCTGTATAACTGTTTAAATAAAGCCAGAACAACAGAAAACAGAAAGAGAAACTTAGTCTGACATATGTCCAACCAAAACTGAAATGTAGGTCCCTGGTTAAAGCAGAAAAGTAGTCTGTTTCAGACTTGCAATATACAGGTCTGGAACAAACTTGCCATGTTGAACAATTGCAACAACTTTCAAATTCTATCCAGCTCTGTGGCTATGGAGGGTGAATCACACTTTGGAGCTGATTCTGAATTCCTGTGAGTCCAAAATTACCATGGCAATCAATTGCATCAAGCATGCTAGAAGACTACTGGATCAGACCATTCCTAGAAAAGCTCTGGTACTTCCCTTTTCTCTATACAAGGAGCCATAAATTAATCCAGAATGGCACCCCTCTAAAAAGAATTATCAAGCTAACATTAGAAAATGAATATATTCTCTCAACATATACTAAATGTGTGCAGAAGATGATTTAAAATCCAACTTTCTGCCTTTTTCTAATAAATTGAAGATGTTCCAATCCTACTTTTTTGTTTGTTTGTTTGTTTTATCTCAGTTATCATATATGCATTTAAGAAACTGCACAGTCCAAGCCTGAACTATGGAAAGGTGAAACTTGCCTTCAGTTCCTTATCATAAATAAAATAAAATAAAATAAAATAAAATAAAATAAAATAAAATAAAATAAAATAAAATAAAATAAAATAAAATAAAATAAATAAAATAAAACATTTCTTATGTTACATTTGGGCTTCAGCTCTTTCATAATAGAAGCAAACTTTTTGTATTTCTCTTTAACAAAAAAAATAGTCCTATGGTAAAAATTCACCAAATAACAGTAGCAACCACTCAAATTGTTGCCTTGGGTCAATGCATCCTTTAATTAACAATACACAGCTGATTTGCTAAGAAGGGTCTGATCTCTGAAATCTGTACTTGGGCAAAATCAGTTTTGAAAATAATAGCTTTTTTTTTTGCCCAGTGTTGTCCTTTCTCCAGTGCTTTGTGCTCTCTTTCAAGTACTTGCCCATTTGACCAGCAGCACATCAAATTCAGCATATGCACAGAGACTTTGTAATTGGAAATTAATATCCTTGGGCCATGATCATTGTCAGTTTAACCACCCAGAAGGCAGCAGGATTGATCCTCCTCACACCTACAAATGTATAAACCAGGAACAAAAGAAGGAAAACATTGAAACCACACCAGGAACGGTATGTTAGCTTTCAGTAAGCCAGGCTGTGAATTTCTAGCACTCACTGTTCCACTCCATATACACAAATGCTCTTGTGGCAGACTAAGAATTTTACAGCACATGGCCACCCCCAGCAAAGTAGGGTCAGTTCCATTACATTTAATGAGTACTAAAGGCTTATCTGTTTGAATGAACTTGTGAGGCAGATGAGGTAAACTGCATTAAGCCCCATTGTGTGCAGAATTAAAGCAGCCTTAATTCAATTCAGCTTACTTTCCTCCCCAAAAGAATGACTCCAAATCAGATTAAGGTTGCTTTTACACTGCAGCAGAATGTCCATGCTGGGCTTTAAAACAGTTTAACAAATCTACTTTAAATGCATACCTTTCATTAATTTAAATTAGCTTTCCTGAAGTCCCCTGTGGAGATAAGGCTTAAGAGACCCCATGCAGGGAATCTGCATGGGTTTTCTAGGATGCTGTGAACTCACACTCTGGCTTACTGTACACTAAACTTCTTCTGAAGACATGTAAATCCAGATCATTGTCTCTGTTGGAGCTGCCGCACAGAAAATTTGAGCTCTTGGAAGGTTGGCAGCAATCTCTCAATTCTGTGAAGGAAGGGGATACAGAGCCTTTCATTTTCACTCTCCCTGTTGCTCCTCTGCCTGTTTCCTAGTGGTCTATAGCTAAGGGTGGTAGGACCAGATGGGGAATTTTGGCAGTGAGACTAGTCTCTGGGATTCCTGTCCACTACTTCTCCACTTCATTCCAAACTCTGTACCACAGTGTACTGCTGCCTTGCTCAGGTAAGACAAGTTTCCTCATCCGCTTCACAGAGTGGATGAAGAAGAAGCTGTATGGGGCAACCAAGAAGGCAGCATAGAGCAGTGGCTGGTAAAGGAGGCTCAGGTAGTAACTCCTTATGCTGGAATTGCTGCCTTGCCTCAACAAAGTACAGCTCAGCTAAGACTGCCATATTTCCTGTTTCCTGTGTCCAGCATAACATGGGCATCACTTCTGGGAGGTCCCTACCAAGTAACAAAGGTCTTTTCTCTCTTTTAGAAATGCACTGATTCATTTTTTCACCAGTTCATTTCCATTCCTCTTCCACTGACATAAACAACCCCATTAATTTCATGTGTGGCAAAAAGAAATCTAGACTAAAAGGAAGAGAAAAAGGAAGAGGAAGAGGAAGAGGGGAAAATGGGGAAAGGAAAAGGAAAAAATGGAAAGGGAAGGAAGGGAAGGAAAGGGAAGGGAAGGGAAGGGAAGGGAAGGGAAGGGAAGGGAAGGGAAGGGAAGGGAAGGGAAGGAAGGGAAGGGAAGGGAAGGGAAGGGAAGGGAAGGGAAGGGAAGGGAAGGGAAGGGAAGGGAAGGGAAGGGAAGGGAAGGGAAGGAAGAAAAAAAAATAAAAAAGAAAAAAAAAAAGAGAAAAAAATGAAAAATGAAAAAAGAAAAAAGAAAAGAAGGATGCTTACTGGTGAGAACAGACAGTTTGTTAAGTGCACCTTCAGGCCCACAAAGACATTTCAGCACTTCTGTGTAAAGGGAATAAGAGCTTTTTGTTTTTCTGGTTGTTGTTTTCATTTGTGTCACACTTGCCAGAAATGCATGCCTATGCTACATGTGGTTAGTTCCCATACTCCATATGTATTGAGATCCTTTGCAGTGAGCTATAAATGGACAAAGAAACATTCAAGCTCCCCAAGCAATCCCAAGCCCTAATGATCCATCCTGACCTCCTGACAAAAAAAAAAGGACCACTGCATGCAGCACAATTCTCTTTACATATGCAAAATTATTATCATTCTGGTCATTAAACTAAGGTGTGTATACCCAACTATGACAAAAGTTAAGTAACCAAAGTGAGGCCTCAAGTCCCAGATGCTACTTTCTGATCATCAGTCCAACAGCATTGCATTCATTATTGCTGTTTATTTTAGTCAGTAGCTTGTTTTATAAGCTGAGTGAAGTACTCAAGTCTGTTTCAACATAAGAAGTCATATCATAGAGCCCAAGAGTTTGGAAAGATCAGGACCATCAGAATGTAGTGGGTTAGAGAGGTGTACAATGGGCAGAGGAGTGAGCAGAGGACAGAAAGGAAGCTTCACAATATCTATCTAGAAGATGTAATGCCCTGTTTTATCTGATGTTTTGCATTTCTTGCAGGAGTCAGAACTCCCTCAGTTCTTGATCACTTTCTCATCTTTAAGATTCACAGAAGCTTCACAGTGAGAAATAAAGTCAAGTCTTTCTGGAAACCTGGAAGGTCAAGCTTGTGCGTAACTGCAGTTAGGGTTCTTTTTAGTCTATGTGCCTTGATTTTATATATGTATGTATGTCTGCATATATGTATACACATACATGTGCAGACACGTATATATTCATACACATATATACATATATCAGAAACCTAAGGGAAGAAAGGATCTGTACAGTGTGGAAGGAGAATTGTTCAACAGCAGTTGGCCGCATGTGAAGTGCAGAATGAAGATCCTCAACTTCATTCATTTAAAAAATAAAGATTAGTGCCTACATTAGCTCTGATCACACTTTATTATCTCCCAGGGCCTAGCAGTCAAGGCTGGGGTATTACAGAAGACACCTTCTCCTAGATTTTCTTCCTTCACCAGATCATGGTGGAAGTAAGGTTAGGGATCAGAAAAAAATAATATGTCTTGGAGGATCTGTGATGGAATTTGAGATCTGACAGACTGCTAAAAGGGAATGGAGGAGGCATGGATGGGAGGACACTGGAAAGCTTCTGTCACCTACCTCATGGGAAATCCAAAGGAAAGAAAAGCATGGCCCTGCAATCTGGTTGCCTGACTGACTAATGCCACAGTTAATGCTGGTCCTTAGTTCCTCCTGTGTCCTGCCATGCTGGGATAGACTGCCAAAGAGCCATCTCAAAAGAAAGGGCAGATATGATGATGGCAGCAATGTCTCTATAAACAACCTAGGGAAACTTGAAGTTTTGCATAAACACAACTGTGACTTATTTAGCAGAAGAAAATGTTGAGCCCTGCAGCATTGGACTGGCAAGGGAAGAAAGGTACCTTGAGGGGCGCTGGTGGTCTTTGCCTGCCTCTTCTGCATCCCAATCACTCACGCTTACTCTTTGTTTCCTTCTCTGTCCCTTTCTGTGCTGTGCCAGGAGGCAGCACAGAACTCTTCTGCTTGTGTGTTGGTGCCTTGCCCTTTCCTTCACTATCTCTGATCAGCTCAATTCCTGGAGGCACTTTCAGTAGTTTAGGGGATGTAAGATAAAGGCACTGCACAACTATCTAAATCAATCATCTCTTCGGTGAATTTTAGGGGAATACAACAAAGTCTTAACTAATGACTGCAAAAGAAACCAGCTGCTGCAATTTGGATGCATATAGTAGATAAGTTTCATTTACATTCTGAGAATGCACCAAAAAGCATGCATCTGCACCTTTAAACTATAAAGGATACTAGGTTTTAGGAGTTGCTATATATAACTTGACTTCTTAATTTTCCATATAGCTTTCCCTTTAAGGGATGGGATATATTCCTTTCTGACAATGCCTAGACAAAAGCCAACACATTTCCCTGAGCAATGCAGGAAAACAATCAGGTTTCTCTGATCTGTTCATTGAGGCCCTCAGTCTATCAAGCACTTTTTTTTTTTATTTCATTTTTATTGTTATTATTGTTATTGTTGTTATTATTATTATTATTATTATTGAATTCATGCATTAATTAATTCAAGTTACACCTTAATCAAATAGGCCATAATGCTGAATATTTGAACATGCTTTGATCTCCAAAAGTTATTGTTCCCATTTGACTAACATACGCACTTAAATACAGTACTTTAAATTACTAGTCAACGATTTAATAAATTAAGGAGTGCACTTCTGGTGAATGCAAATCATAAAGAAAAAAAAAAAAGGAAAGAAAAAGAGAGATAAAGGACCTATTTTTAGAAGATTCAGTTCAAACGAAAGCTTATCCGCTATTGTCTGAGGTAAAGTTTCAGGCATGCGATTATAAAATAAATAGTATCAAATTCAAACATGCTTATCTTAAACTCCATTGTGCTATCTTGCAACAGAGGGACTATAAGTTTTGTATCCAGTTCTGGACAGGGAAAAGGAAAAGTGTGTTTAAATCATCTGCATGTAAGAGAACTTAGCAGCATTGCAGATGTTCTATCTTCAGTTTTGTTTGTTATTTGTTCTTCTACGGATAGCAAAAAAGACCAGCCTTAACTGTATTTAAATAAGGTGCTGTGTTGGTCTGTAGACTGGAACTATATAATCTGTCACATAGGGGGTGGAAGGAAAAATTGCACTCCTTCATAAAAACAATGGCAAATGCTTGCTGCATGTTAATCCTTTTTTTTATTATTATCTGATGCACTTCCTTGCAACTGTGCATTTTTGCAGAATATTTTCACTGGAATCCATGCATATGCTTTATAGTTTTAAAAACTGTAATATTTAAATTAACTTCATTGAAAAAAAAAATGGGGTGGGGGGAAGAGGAAAAGATTAGGTCTAGCATCATACAGTTTAAAACTAAACTAGTTCAAATGGTTTTCATTTACTAGATGGAAAATGGTTTTGTTTTCTTTTTTTTTTTTTTTAAATAAACAAAATTGTGTCTTTCATGGATCCTGGAAGCTTCTTTATCGCTGAGCAAAAATTCGCAATGCAACAATGCATTTACGAGGTAAATAAAGCATTCAAAGACTATCAGTAAAGCATCTACAAAGTGTGACTGTGTCACTTAAGTCTTCAAGCTGTGAGTGAGGATTTTGTTTTTTTGTTTATACATCGGTCAGCAGCTTGCTTTTATTAACACAGTTTTGGTTGGCTATAGTGCAGTTGCCAGTTCTGAGATTAGCCTCTCTAAAATTGTCTATGCTATTATTCATATCCTCTTCGATTTCCATGTACTCAGATTTGCTGATTGTGGAGGAGCTGCGGCGGCTGAGATCACTGTCAGATGCTAAATTAGGGGAGCTAACGTGAAGTAACTGAGCCTGTTCTTCCCCTTCTGTTTCTCGGTGGTAGAAGTAGTTGAAGTTGGACACGATGACAGGTACAGGCAGGGCAATTGTCAGCACACCAGCGATGGCACACAAGGAGCCTACGATTTTGCCTCCAATTGTCACAGGGTACATGTCACCATAGCCCACAGTGGTCATGGATACCACCGCCCACCAGAAAGCATCAGGGATACTTGTGAAATGAGACTCAGGTTCTTCAGCCTCAGCAAAATACACTGCACTAGAGAACAAGATCACCCCAATGAAGAGGAAAAAGATTAGTAAACCTAGCTCTCTCATACTCGCTTTGAGGGTCTGTCCCAAAATCTGGAGGCCCTTAGAGTGCCGGGAGAGTTTGAAGATTCGAAAGACTCTTACCAGTCTGATGACTCTCAGGATGGCCAAGGAGGTGGCCTGCTCTCCTTTCTGAGTCCCCTCCCGCTCAGCCATCTCAGTGCCCAGGGTGATGAAGTAAGGGATGATGGCTACAATGTCAATGAAGTTCATGATATTCTTGAAGAATTCAGTCTTGCTGGGGCAAGCAAAGAAGCGCACCACCAGCTCAAAGGAGAACCAGATGATGCACAGGGTCTCCACAACAAAGAAAGGATCTGTGAAGATGTTGGATTTGTAGACCTGGGTGGTGTTGTCAGTGCGATGCACTGTATACTCCTTGTCCTCCTTCAGCTCAGGTAATGTCTCTAGGCAGAAGATCACAATGGAGATGAGGATCACCATGACAGAGACTATTGCAATGACCCTTGCAGGCCCAGAGCTCTCTGGGTACTCAAAGAGGAGCCATACTTGGCGCTGGTACTCCCCCTCCGGCAAGGGTCTCTCCTCATCTTTGATGAACCCTTCATCTTCCCGGAACTTCTCCATGGCCTCCTCACCCAGCTCATAAAATTTTATCTCCTCAGAGAACATGTCCAAGGGCACATTGACCGGCCGGCGAAGCCGCCCTCCAGACTGGTAGTAGTAGAGGATGGCGTCAAAGCTGGGCCGGTTCCGGTCAAAAAAGTACTCATTGCGCAAGGGGTCAAAGTACCGCATGCGCTTCTTGGGGTTGCCCAGCAGTGTATTGGGAAACTGGGCTAATGTCTTCAGCTGCGTCTCAAAGCGTAGTCCAGCAATGTTTATCACTACGCGCTCACAGCACTCATGGTCATCGTGGGCAGCAGGCTGGTAGCTATCCTGGGGGTGGCCAGGTAGCGCAGAAGTCTCATCCATGTTCTCTCCAGCCATCACGGTCATTGTGGCACAAAGGAAGTGGGAAGCAGGGCCAGGGGAGGAGAAGAGAGGGAGAGGGGCTTGAGAGTGGGGACGAGAATGGAGGAGAACAGAAAGTCCAAGGGCAGTTCACTGGAGGATGGAAGGAGGGTGGGAGGCAGAGGAGGCTCAGAGTCTGCAGAATGAGTGGGGATGGAGAGGCTTGAAGAACGGATGCATGAAAAGCCTACAAGATGGAAATATCCAAAATGGGAAAGGAGAGGTGGGATGCAGGAATAGGCATCAGGAATGAAGGGAGGGTGAAGAAAGAGAGAAGGAATACCTTTAGGAGGGTGGGGGAAGAGGGCAGATAAGGTGAGGGGTCCTGTCCCCCCAGGCTGGGAGGCTGAAGGTGTCTGGGGTTCACCCCCAGGCTGGGGTTCCCTCCCCAGATGTCTCCTTTTGCCTTTAACTTGATCCGTCTGCTTTTCTCGACGACTCGACCATTGCCACGGCTGCTGTCTCGAAGTTACCACACACACACACACACACACACATACACAAATAAATAAATAAATAAATCACAGGGAGCCTGGGAGGTGAGTCCTTGCAATGCCAACTCAGCAAATTTCCATCACCTATCCCCCCCAACCCCCTCCCCACTGCCCTGGTCCTCTCCTCTTGTGCGCCGAAGAGAGAGGGATGGCGATACTCTTGCTTTTGAAGGCATAAAGCTTACTTGCAGGAAGGAGGCTGCCAGGGAGGAGAGAAACAGCATAAACCAACCCCCAAGCCCCACCACTCACACACGCTCAGGCGCAATGGATTGGCTTTCACACCAGCAAGAACATCCCTCTCTGCCCACTACGGCAGCACATGCAGAACCCTACGCATTCCCACACATCCACGGACAAGCAATGGGGCCTCTGGGACAGGAAGGGACCCATAGCACTCCTGTGCCCTGAGTGCATTGGGAGGGCTTCCCAGGCAACTTCAGTGGGGTCAGCTCCTGCCATAAGTTTCCTGACCACCACGCGCCCCGCTTCACATAGTGGAGACTTAGATGAGTACTGACAACTTCATCACACCGATCGAGGGGATTAAGGGAGGGAGAGTGGAGAATCTCCCCTCTGCTTTGCAGCATCTAGACACAACTGAGGCAGAGACAAGGGAAGGGAGATCGACGTCCCAGACCCAAACTGTCCAAAAAAGAGTCCAGCAGAACAGGGGAAAAGGGTCTTTTCCTTACCTGCTCCGAGTGAGATGCGCTGGTTAGAAGTAGGAGCCAGTGCCAGAATGCGTCAAGTCGTCTTGCAGCAGCAGCCAAAAAAAAAAAAATACAAAACAAAACAAAAACCGCAGCGGCAAACTCAACCCTCCTCCTCCTCCTCTTGCGCCCGTTTTAATAATACTGCGATCGCTTTACAGGACTGCCTGCGAGACACTGAAATATTCATACACTGTCTTAGGCTGCACCAAGGGCGAGTGGGTTTAATTAGTTTCTGCCGAGAACCGCAGTGGGGGAGGTGGGGGATGGAAGAGAGCGCAAAGTACCTTTTCCAAAAGGCTTGAGTTAATAAATAAAAGGAAGGAGTCCTAGATTAGCCGCTGGCTCTCCCGCTCTTTTCCTTTAAGGTAGCTGGAGAAGCAGCCGGGCGCTGGGCAGCGGCGGCTGGGGAGATGTAAGAGAGCCGCAGTCCTGCAGCAGCATCTCCGGAGTGGGTCTTGGCTCGTCCCGGCAGCAGCAGCAGCAGCAGCAGGAGGAGGCAGTAGCTGGCCGCGTGTGGTAGGAGCGAGAGGGCTGCTGAATGCATAAGAGCGAGGAGCCAACTCGAGCCATGTCTTGACGCTGCGCTATCAGCACAAACCCGAGAGCTGTTTGGTGCAGCTCGGGCGGCGGGCGGGAGGGGGCTGGAGGGGGGCGGGCGGCAGCGCTGCCCCCGCTCCGCACCGCTCCGCACCCCGCCGCCGCCGCCTCCAGCGCGGCCCCCGACGCAATGCGGGGCCGCCCCGCTCCCCACCGCACCGCCCGCCCGCTGCGGGACACCGGGTAGCTGCGGGGGAGCAGCCGGCGTGGTGCAGGGCTTTGCACACCCCGCACGGAGCGCGATGCTGCATGCGCCTGCAGTGCCCCCAGCACCCCCGCTTGGGAGCGGCTGGACGTGGGGCAGCGCTGCTGCTGCTGCTACTGTGCTGATGGTGATGATGGTGCTGGTGCTGGTGCTGCCCGGCCCCATCCCACTGTGCACTCGGTAGCAGACAGGTCTGCATCGCCCAAGCTGGCCCGCATAGGGATGGATCCTGAGCAGTGTGGCTGGAATTGGGAGGGAAGAGTTAATCAGCAGGCAGTGTATTACAGGGAAATTGCCCTTTCATGCTGCTTTATCCCACTGAATTCATTTAATTGATGAATCACATAACTTTGAGATGGAAAAGACCCATTATGTCATCAGCTTCCCACCCCTGCCAGTGCAGGATTGTTCCCTACAGTATATGATCATGTACATTATATAAAAGCCTGCTGCTCACTTTGTCAAAGCAGGAGAGGTGATCAAATACAACCTGGGCCTGTGTAATTTGAAGCATTACAGAGATAAGCAACACCAGGTCCATGTTTAACAGGCCTGGTCTCATTAGCTTTTCACTGCATTATACATTACCCTCACTTAAGATCACCACCTTGGCAGTCCAAAAATACTTAACCTCCTGACCTAAGGGAGGGTTTCTGCCTCCTCTTCCCCTTATTTATCGCCATGTTTTGTTTTCTTTGGGGTTGGGGTTGGGGGGTGCTGCTGGAGTACAAACTTAAAATACACAAGCTCTAGCTGTGCTGTAATCAGAGCTACTCTGCATACTCTGTTCACCAGCACTGGCAGAAACAAAAGTGCAAAGGAACAGATTTCCTGTCTAGCCTAGTATATGCTTTCTTCACAGTGAGCAACACATATGCTGAAAGTTGTGTGAGAAACTTCTGATGAAGTTCTAAGCGAGAGAAAAGACTCCATCTGCCAATCCTGGGCAAAACAATCCAAAAACTAAATAAAATAAGGACTCTTCTCCCAGTGAAAAATCACAGGTACTAGTTTTCTGTCTGCTTGCTTCATCACTCAGTGTCAGAACCCAAACTTAGAACCAGCAGCACTAGACCCAGTACAAACCACAGCCACACCACTAGCCCCCCTCCCCCCCCCCACACACACATCTCCAAAAACAAAACAAAACAAAACCAAAAACCAGAAAGGTGGTGCCTTTGCCTGAACTAACCAGGCTGTTTTTCAACCCTTCAAGAAACTCAGCTTCAGCTAGAGCCTTTGACTCAACATCCTCTTATGGCAGTGAATTCCTTGCCTGGATGACATTCTGCACAGAGCTGACTGCAAAGTATTCAGAGAGCTCTGCATTCAGTGCACTTGGAACCGCTCTGCAGAAATAGCTTTGTGAGCTAGTACTCGCAAAGCTCTGGTGCAGTGTTATATCCCCCTGTAGTAGTTCAAAGACAGACATGTATACTCATGAGTGTGAAGAAAGTGCAGATCTGACAATCAGAGGGCTGAGTTCAAGGTGCTGTTCCGCCCTTGGCTTCCTACATGATTGCAAGCAAGTTGATCCATTCTGCTTTTATATCTGAAAACGGGACTAAACGTGTTTCATTTGCTTGTCACAAGTGCTTAGACTGTTCATTCCTGAGGTCTGTCTTAGCACAGCAGAACCCAAATCTTTACTGGAAGCTGTGAGTATATCAGTAGAAGAAAAATAAATAAAAATAAAAAACAACAATAATAATAAAAAAAAATTATGCAGTATGCTTTGTTCTTGCATTATAGGATAATAAAAGGACAAATGAGGATAGTGCTACCCCGTTCTCATTTTGAATATCTTTGAACTCTGATTTCTTATTCCAGTCTAATGCTACTGCCAAGTAAGCATGCTTGAAGGTAGATAGCTTGCTTAGAAAAGTGGACTATTGACCATAGGGTCATGGAAAATCTTGCTAAGGAGCACAGACTAATGAGCAGTAAAGCTACAGCTTGCGAAGGTGTCATATGTTACATGTTACTGTGCTAATTACCTTGAATTAAATATCGAGGAATGTGAAGAGACATGGACTTCCTGACAAATTTGAAGTCAGGCTGCCACTATTTCATACTTCCTATATTAAAGCAAATGGCCACCAGCAATCAAATTTCTATTTTCCCCCAAGAGTCAAGCTGAGAAGTTCTGTTCAGGAACAAACGATTTTGTAGGGAGACTATAAGTTTCAAACTACCAAAAGCTTTAGATAGGTGGAAGGCAAAACATTCAGAACAGCTGCTTTTAAAAATCCTGCTAGACATCTTTCTGCTTCCATAGAGGCCAAAAAAAAACAGTTGCTGTTCCTTTCCTTACTTCTTACTGATGGTCAGCCATTGTGTGGTGATAGATCTTGCGGTACAATGCAAACAGCATCACACCTTTCCAGTAGCCACTCTATAAAAAATGCTTCCACTTGATCTCCCCCATGGAAAGTGCTTTCAGTCTGACATGGTAGTGCGGATGAGCACAAGCAGATGGGGAAGCAGCAGGCGTTCTGAGTTGCATGGGCTGAGGAGGTTCGCTGCCATCTTTGATGGCTTCTGAAGCAATTTATCATAGGCAACCAGAACTGATAGGCTTGTCTCAAAGATAGGTTGTCATAGCACAAACAGAAGCTGAAGCAATTAGCAAAGTCTTGCCTTGTACAGAAAGGTGAAGACTTCCTTGTTTTGGTTTGGCAAATGAAGGATTATCCCTGATGGGAAAGAGCAGATTTTTTTTTTCCATTTTTATTTTGAGAGAGAAAGAGAGAGAGAAAATAGAATTGTTGGTTAAAACTATTGGTGTATTGTAAGGATTAAAGATAAGTTGTATTGAATGACTGTAAATCTGAAGCTGGATTAAAAAATAACCATCGGTTTTATGCAGTTTGAAGCAGGCTTTAAACACTGTCACCAGGGAACCTGAAAACTACTGATCAAAATCAATAGACAGCAGCAGAGTGGATTTCCTAGCATGATAGCTTTCATGCAAGTGTTATGAGTGACACAGCACGCTAAATTTCCTTGACATGAAAAGACAACTGTGCGACAGAAACCACTGCAAAATCCAAAGTGGCAAGTGCGATCCTGGTTGTTTGAACTTTAAGTATCTCCATAGGTTTTGTAGCCTTAATT